TTGACTTAAATATGATATCGAATACTCTATAACCAACGAATCATCAAGACATTTGTATTAATATCTCAATTGGCAATTATAATAAATATAAAGGCAGGTAGCGTGAATGAAATCCTTTCTCCTTCGTAATTATCTGTGCTAAAAACATAAATAAGAACACTAAAGAGATGACTCTTGACAATCAAAACTAAACCTTTATCCTAATATTTGATAGAATTATATACACATTATTACTTTTCCAGAAACTATTAGATATTATTTACCTTATCCGTGTTCTGGAAAGGAAACCAAGGTATACTGACTCAGCAGCTAGCCGCAATTATACCCGCGTCAATTGTGACACGACCTAGCCATACATCCACCCTTCCATCTATATGAGAAATTCTAAATATGAATCAGCATTAGTTTATTTTCTAATAACACTCTAAATATAAAGTAAAACGGAAAATTTGTATAGTATCTATTAGCGGGCACACATTATATACCAATTATTCATGTGCACACGTGTACCTGAATAATTGTTAAGCTATACAAGTACAAGTGCACACAAGTGTCATGAACTCAATTGTCACTGATTACACTATGACAACTGTCATAACCAAACAAGTTGGCAATTTAACTTCTCGTATATATATATAATTTTTTTTTTTAAATTTTCAGTTATTATTCGGTTATTCTTGGCAGCGAAAATATAGCGAATCAATAAATCCTGGAAATCGCTCCACCTTTTTTGAATAATAATAAGTATAACTAAAGCGATTTTGAAATCATAATAAAAATAACGAAAATTGACGTATATTACTTAGCTTACGACAGTTGTCTAGTTGAATATTCATTGTTGGTTATAGCGACAGATTCAACAGTAACGATTTACCCTAAATCCACCCTTAACACTATAATATAACTCACGCTAGCTCACGCCTGATTAAGGATTAAACTTAAAAATTACTCATATAAAAATCCTAAGTCTCTGCCTACTATTAACACCGTATATCACGATTCCCTCGGCCTAAATCTAAATAGGCTTTCCATAACCTTCGCCGCCCCCTCGTCTCCATCTTTTATGATCCAATGGAATCGCATTAAATTAGCCTGGGAATAATTACGGATCGAGAAGTAGCTGTAACTCGGAAAACTCCGCGATACTTTGAACACGTACCTACTCGTTGCAAGTTTCTCTTTGATAACCGACCCGTGAAATGGGTTTACTGGTAATGTTATATTATACCCACCTGCCCCGCTACCATGTTCTCCCTCCTTTGCTCCGATGCTTTACTAAATAGAGTATAAACTTGGGCGGTTTAGCAAACTTTCCGAACCAATTTTGACGGATTCCTGGCGTTTTTGCGGCACACAGTGTTATTATCGTCGGAAAGTTTGCGTCGAATAGAATTTTTATCATTTGCCCTTTATTATTGTCTTATATAAACGGACTTTATTTAAAGGATATACCATTTTCATTTGTCGGGTGTTTTGCATAAATTCTTTGCATTGAACCTTATTAGCTAACATTAACTTATGTATACCTTAAATTTTAATTATAATATACATTACAAGTGTACCTAAATAGTTTCTTTGGGAGTATTCTAAATATCTGGCTATCTTAACGTTATTATTTATGACATACTAGCTTTCCGCCAACGACTTCGCCCGCATCTGCATCCAATAGGTATTACATATAAAGCTTCCTCTAGAATCACTCTGTATTTGATTTTTTCTTAAAATTGTGTCGTTTAAAGATCTCAGCGAATATTCAGCGGGAAGTTGCTTAACACTATGTATAGATTATACTATTCTCATTATACACATAGTTCATAATAATAGACTGCAGGTGCTTCCGACGCACGGAGTATATCAATATAATAAATTTTTGGTTACCTGTCCTATTACTGACCTTACATATTTTATGCAAATAAACCTATAGATTTGTAATCTTAAAATACAACACAAATTTAATAACCAATAAGCTATATACTTTTATAATTGTGACAATGTAACAAACCTATTATTCAACAGCATTGACCATAAGTGCATTGGTTATTTGCAACACTAGTTCCTATTTTCTGGAATAAACTAAATAAATGATTACACAACGCCCAATGAATAACGACTCCTGTGTGCAGAAATCGCGAAGGACAAAATCACAGGCGATTAATATCGCGAGTCGTTGAGACTGTATTTTTTTGGAATAGATTTGTGCTCGACCCGGCCTTTTGTGCCCAAAGCGTCCATTTTGATAAATTGCTGACGTGACGAGGGTTGTGACACGGCACATAGAATTATACAACTATCGAACTAAAAGTAAGTCTGTCCATCTACTTGAGTATTAATTTTATGAAATCATTGTACAAATGCTAAAAGGTCGGATTCAAATTGTATATGTATACGACGAAAACTTCAAGTTAATTTACTCCCATATTAGGTGGATGTGGTCCTACATAAAGAAGGAGAGAGAAAGAGAGCATTATAAAACTTGTGCAATAGCTTGTTTTAATATCTGAAACACTAAAAAGGCAGGCTCGGCACAAGGGTAAGAATTGTTGAGCTCCTCAGAGAATCCAGGAGAACCAGAACCGAATGTTTTAGGAGCCGTGGATGAAGACCGTGAAGGCTTTGTTTATTACTGTGTACTACCTTTGGATTATATTGTCCATAAGATGTACATATTTTATTCTAAATGGTCAACAAAAGTTTCAATTGAATTTAAGCTGGTAGATACTTTTCGAAAATAGTTTGGTACATTAATGAATCTTGTTCAATCTGAACACTAAAAATGCAAAGCAATACATAAAATGCGTAGCAGAACAATAGCGGAATTCACATAAGTTATTCAAGGGTCACCAAAATCCATTTTTCACAATTACCTCGGTTTCTAGCATCTCCATAGTGTTGTTATCTTCTGATGCGAAGTTACGATTTTTTTACACAGCATTTTGAATGCGATATTCACTAGTAGTGCAGTGCAATCTGATTACCTTTTTTACTATTACACTATTACGTACCTGTAATTATTTTCGGGTCCACACTTTGTAGCATTGAACATGCACTAACCGGAAATTATGATCGCAATTCGAGCAAACTTATATTGGCTACCCTCCTGTTGTGTGCACATGGGAATCATAACGTTTCATTTTTAGTCCATTATAAAAGCAAACAGATATTAAGTTGAATATTTACAACAACCTTGAGAGCACACGAAGTTACCGTTTAATATAGAAATGGAAAATATGTATGATTTTTTAACATCATTCACCCAATGAGGATCGGATGGTACGACTACGACTACGAATGCGATTGGGTAACGTGCGTTCGGATGTAAGGAGAAAATTTTTTTTGTCACCCATCTCGAGACCGACCCTTGGTCACGAGATGGATGAGAAAAAAAATTGCTTAACTAAAACGATCGCGGGCCGCGGCCCCATGCCATATAATTAACGCCGCGGCCCCATGCCATATTATTAATATCATACAATCATGTTCTCATATTAATTTATCAAGTAACGATTATATGGCCGGAGACTAAGCTGAAAGAGGAAAATGCCAAGGACGACGACGTGCAATCTTATACAATTTCCGCTGTTATAAACCTATAATGACATAATTTTCCTTTATGAGTCGCTACTGTTATTAAATATTTTATAATAAAAATTTTCATTACAGTACCTATTGACGGAAATTAATCTCTTAAGAGGTAACATATGACATAAGATTAGAGAGGTAACATGTGACATAACATTACATAGCTTTATCTCGGTAAAGTTTTTGAAATTCTATATCGTGTTCTATTAATGAGAGAATTAATTTGTATATGTATATTGAAAAATATGTATGTTGAATATTATTTCTACTATTTTGACGACCTATTTGACTATGTGAATGGGCTGCACATTAATTTCAAGGTGTCTCTGAGGTCCCGAGTTAATAACTTATTAATAACTATATTGTCTCGGATCTGGATGTTGTATTATATTCGTTGTTTCTGATTTCCAAATTGCAAATGTTTACTTTATATAGCTTTACTTGTATCTGATACTGTCTCATCTTGATTTTTTCTTTACCTTCTTTACTTGCGTATGGTTTGAGCCGAATGGTTCTTACTATACCTATCTACAATAAGTTTTGTTTTAACAAATATTTATTGTGAACCAGTAACACTTATTACTAATATCTCCATTACTAAAAATTTCTTATAAAAAAAAGCTTAAAATTCAATTAATATTTTTTTTTACAAAATAATCTTCTTTTGTATATCAATGCCATCTATCGCCGTCGATCATTATAACTTCATTATAACGATGATGACCACTAAACGATACAATACTCGACGACGTCAAAATGAAACGATCAACAACAATAAACTACACAGTTGGCAATAAGTCTGCATCGCGCTCACAAAGTTTCTATGCCAATTTTGGTTTTTACATGTTGTCAAGTGACAAATAACATTCTTTAACACATTTGTTCATTACTTAGGAGAACCAAGCGTGTTGTTTGTTACATCTTTTTACGGTAATATAAATACACATACTCGATTATAAATAGGAAATAACACTATTTATCTGAATATACTGTGAAAATAAAAACGTATAGTTGTTTTCGAAACTAAAATTAAAAACTCCCGCGATGCGTTGGCAGCTAAAAAACACGTGCCGCCTGCAGTCACCTTTATTGGGTTTCCTAGCTTCTCTCATATATAAGTCTTATACGAAATAGATGTGACAGTTCCTCGTGGTGCATGTTTTACGTTGAGAGATATTTAAAAATTGGCAAAGCTTAAGTCACATATCATATATCTAATAATGTTCCATACAATATTAAGTTTTCATTATTTCTATGAATAATAATAGCGTCCCATCACCATATGAAAGTAAACAAATTTTATCAAGAATGCAAAACAAGGACACCCAGCCCAAACTGTAAAAAATCTTTCGATAAAAATTATTAATAAAAAAAATGTTTTCTTTATATTATTAAAGTTAAAACCTACAAACATTTGACCCATGTTTGTGTACACAGTCAGACATTATCAAAGTAAGTTTTTATTGCGCTCTTCATTGGCGAAAACCTACTAATTCCAACAATAACCGGACATATGACTAAAGTTTTTAAATGAGTCTTGTTTCAATAGACATAAGATGTAAAATACAACGTATTACATGCCCGTCTCTCACACTTTTCAATGGTCAGACACGCGGTTCGTCCAATAGCGCGCCACTCGACTCATTCTGATTGGCCAGTATTTGCCACGCTTCGGATCTAAGGTACGTCACTGAGCCACATAAGTTGTATCTTACTGTAGCGATAGCGAGCAAAAATAAAACTGAATGTTCTTTTGTGTGAAGCCTTTATATAAAGATAAGATGTATATCTAATAGGTCTCATTCGCTTTAAGATGATTTTTTTTTTTTTATTTTTTTTTTAATGATTGCGGCAGGCGCTACATAAATGAGGTTGGCAGCTGGCTTTTTACATTATCACTAAAAAAATAAGTAAAGAAATCCTGTTTTACTCAGAGATATAAACTTACAAAACAAAGGTCAGAGGAGTAGATATTTATTCTTTAAAATTTTTACATTTTGACGAAAAATGTGTTATTTATACTACATTGGCAGGAATATGTTCCTTTATTTAAAACGTGTATTACTTGACCAAGTTGCAGTAACACATTATACTCAGAACTGTGGCCTATTGTCTAATTTTAAAATTTATCGCACTTCCAAATATTTAGCAGTTGTGATAATAATATAAGGAATGTTGTGATAGTGTTACTTTGAAAGCCACAATCGTATTTAGAACGAATGATGATTTGAATGATTTAAATTCATTTCGTTTGACGTTTTCCGATAGCTTTCAATGATATTTGTTACTATCACTTTGCTTAGACAATTCTAATTAACGTCATTAAACGTTATTATTAATTCAATATCAAATAGTTATAGAGTGAAGTTCGTGAACATCTTCCAAATGTAAAATTCAGTGATTGTGATAGATTTTCAAATGAGACAATTAGGCCACTGCTCTGTACAAGGAAATATTTGATTGTAAATATATATTGAGTAGGTATGTATACTCTGTGCGGTTAGGGCAACCTTAGGCAGAGTTGGCGCCATCTCTCCTAAGCCCGGTCTCCGTTTGTCTTACATAATCCACTGCCCACTCAAATGCTAAGAACGCCTCGATTTAAACAATATTAATTTACGTACTGTTGGGTTGGCTTATGAAAAGACACCCACGATGTTTCGTAGTAGGTTTTCACGACAGCATGAACATTTTATTGTAATGATATTTATTCACTAACTCTTAGCCGCGTTTCACATTATCTTGGGGAACCTCGAATTTTAAAAAAAAGTACCTACTTTCGTTAGAATATTTACAAATTGTAATACCATATTTGAATTATGATATACATTAGGGTTCATTTATATTTTATAGGGACCTTTTTGCCCTTTGGGCACGGAACCCTAAAGATTATAAATGTATTATTTGATTAAAACAAAAACCATTTTTACCGCTACAAATAGAAAGCTAGCAATAGCGTTTACTCCCTTGTTCTTCCGAACGAAGGAGTTCGGAAGTACCTTGACAGTACTAACATAAAAGTTCTTTTTATTTTTAGAAATATGACAGCGACAAGCTCTTAACAAAAAAACTAGTGATAGTACCTATATAGGTTAAAATTAAAGAAATTAAGACGTAATATTAAATGGAAAATTATTTACCTTACACTATAAATTTAAAAAGCTTGTTGAATATTCAATTAAAGTCTTTATTTAAGTGGTTTTCTATTAAATTTAGCTTGTTTCGTTCATAATGTTTGTTTATCATCAGAATTAATAACATAAATTCAGAATAAGGTAACAATACAAACTTTAAGTTAATCCTCGGTGGCTTACCGAGCACAAACGTGTTTGAAACAAAAGTTACTAGTGAATTATTCGAAAAGCTCCCGAATCTAGCGAGAACCGATACCTACAAAGCAACAGAACTAATAAATGTATCGGAAACTTTGCTAGCGTTCCCGTGTTTTATCGCGTTGCGCGGAAAGTAGTGCCCTCTAAGCTATTTAACAGGCAAATTTGGAAAAGTTTCCATTTTCGATTCGACAGTAAAGTCCTAACGTTGTTGCTTCATACTGGGTTACCAACTGCAAAGAGCAACCGAGAAAGAAAACTGATGCAATTTATGCGACACTTAGCTTCAGGCAGTACCAGCACTGATTTTCGACTCTAATGTCCTCGCCATAGAGTAAATTTTACCGTATCGATTGGAATAGTGTTATAAAATCGGAATTGTCTGATCCACGCCAGCACAATACTTTGTTGAATTAAATGTTTTAACATATGTTTTTGGCAAACTTTTCAGAGTTCAAGTTGCTAGGTAGAAACAAAAGGTAAATTGCAATAAAATAAACTAATTTGTTAATAACAACTAAACGTGGACTGTAGGTTTGTTTAAATTAAATATAAATTAGCTCAATCAAATTTACTCAACAGAAATTAAGACAGCCATAGTATTAATATAGGTAACATATGATGATGTCGATGTGGGATCGGTTACTAGTTTATACAGTTGATCTCAACTGAAAAATACAAATTAGTCATTTTTTGTATTATTTTTATCGATAATAAGGATAATGACTAAGTTAAAAAAAAGCAATTCTATTTAGTCCATCCGTCAGATAATAAGAAAATATTAGATACGTATTTTTTTTGCTTCAATTTATCATGAAATGACTTAGGTAATAAACATTAAAGTTAAAGAGTGGGGGTTCGCTACGTCACAGCGTTTGTAGAAAATGTACAAATGCGTGATGTCATGCGACATTGTAATTCAATGTATATGCGTAATTTATTAATTACGCTAAAAACTAAAAAAGTACACGTTGTATCATCATCATCATCAGCCCTTTTACGTCCCCACTGCAGGTGCTCAGGCCTTCCTTATTGATGGTTAAGGAGGATGGGCCATGACCCTCCACGCTGGCCCAATGCGGATTGAACGGTATTCACGACTGCAAATGCAGCCGGGACCAACGGCTTAACGTGCCTTCCAAAGCATGGAGTAGCTCGAGATAATAATTTTTTGGTCACCCATCCCGTGACCGATCCTTGCGAAAGTTGCTTAACGACAACGATCGCGGGCTACGACGCTTATCCACTACGCCACCGAGCTACTCCCATTACACGTTTTATATTCTTCAGTAACCTACATGATGGAGAAAGAAACAAAAACTCAGTCGACTACCCTATTCACGGTACTCGGTTACAGTATGCAAGTGTTTATATAGTAGTTAATAGTGTACTAGAATTTTAACGCTTTAAATTCATTAAAAATAAAAGAGTATCACTGTAATAACGGTTATTGTGAAATAATATAGCGTAACAGAGGCACATATTAAGGTAGTAAAAATACCCTTGCCCAGTTTTATTTGTGCGGATTAAGTAGAATTGTTTTATTTTGTCCAGTTCTGGGGACCTAATATTCTTGTGAGTAGAAGAAGTGGGACAGCGGGATACTATTTATTGTTACTACTCCTGACGACACCTGCAGTCTTTAAGCAGTGTACACACAACAAATTTCAAAATACTTTTTAATTTTTACGAATTCGTCATATTAATTTTATTGTAATATATACTGACAGATTTGATTGATTAATTTGCACGAAACAGGCTCCGAAAGACTGGACCCATTTAAAAATTATTTTGCCTTCGGAAATATATATCCGCGAAGGTGACATAGGCATAATTATAGGTCTAAGTCACGGTAAATAGCTAGTATCCAATAAACCAAGTAAGCTACAATATATGTTTTGTATTAATACTCGTATATAGATAAATAAATATTATTCGTAACATTTTTGAAACGAAATAAAACGAATAATTTATTCACTTACATAACAATTATTCGGTTGTGTTAGTGTGGCAAAATCCATTAATACTAGTATGAATTTATTGTAATATACAAGACAAATAGCAACACTCTTTAATGAATAGCAAATGTAAATTTATACTCAAACCAAGCGAGTCTCATTTACATGTTGATGTCAATCAATTTGGTCTTTCCAAGAAACGCTTTTCATATTTCGATCCATTGCACCCTAAACTATTCAATGCTTGAATTTACGGCAATTACTCAAATGAAATTTCAGCCAAAAGCCGTTACTCAAAAATGGGCTAATCTTACAAATGTATTAATACAAAATGCTTAAATTTCTGATATTTGAAGATCCAGTTACTTCAATTAGCGTTTCACCTGAGAATGAGAAATGATGAGTTGGAAACTCGATTACAGTTTCAATTTAGAGTCTTAAAAGTAGTTCTTACACGAGTAGCTCATTAAATGTCGTGTCTTTATTATAAGTTATTACAGTACGATAGACTTTAAAAGCAATTGACTAAATTATCAATTCACTAGATTCACAACTTGGCAATTTCACCTACATAGAAGTACAGTTAAAAACAAAACTGAAAATAAACAGCGAGATACAAGATACAGCAAGAAAAAAAGATTTTCAATCTGAATTTACATTTTTGGTGGGTTGTCTAATTTGTATATCAAGATATCTGGTTAAATTATAGAGTAAGTCTATATAGACGATACACATTGTTACTTTTGATTATGCTTATGAAAGCTCATGGTATAATGTTCATGGTAATTTATAGATCATAAAGTAATTTTCCATCACATTTTTTTCTAAAGTCCTAGACTAAAAGATATTCCGTTATAATTAATCCTCTTTAATATGAGAATGAATTTAAGCTAAGCCGGTTTATTAGTAAAATAAACAAAATAAATTAAACATTCTTAATGAAAAATGCTTAAAAAATCTACTTTGTCCCTGGTACTCTAAGATGGGACTCGAACCCATGACCTTGCGCAATCCGGGCTCTAATTTTTAAGCCACTCAGGACCTAACAGGATCGACGCATTTTTCAAATTTCCTTTTTACTTTTTCGTTAATTTAATTGCAAATTTTGCAATTTGTTTATTGCAAATTTTAATTCTATGTATTTCCTGTTTAAAATGCATAATGTATATCCACGACTACCGTGTGTGTGTGTACTAAGCTTTACTAACAGTTTAACTCACGATTAGCACCTCACCTCACCTGTATTTAGCCTGTGCTTAATTCTGTTAGTTTCAGTTCCTTGCTAACATTATTCTTGTTACTTGGTAGGGCAACTTACAATATTTCTCGGGATTTTCTTAACCAAGTACATTTTTTCACAGTTACGAAAATAAACATTTAGCAGTTTCAAAATTTCTTAAAAAAAAATGTATCTATACTTATAATAAATCTGTAGAGAGGTCGATTCTGTACATGAAATATATTTCCAAAATAACTATCAGGGGATGATTAGCGATCGATACTGATGCCAAAAATGCAATCAGTAAAATTTTTGTCTGTCTGTCTGTCTGTATAACCGTTATAGAAACAAAAACTACTCTACGGATTTTAACGAAACTTGGTACAATTATTTTTCATACTCCTGAGCTGGTTATAATATACTTTTCATCACGCTACAATCAATAGGAGCAGAGCAGTGAAGGGAAATGTTGGGAAAACGGGAAAAGTTACTCCATGATTAAGCTTCCGTCGCGTGTGCAACCTTAATAGTTAAAGCTACCCAGAAATCATGTATGACGGAAATGTTCTCCTTAAAATTATATAAAAGTTAACTATTGGTTCGAATTGAAAAAATCTTTTTGTGTTGAATAGACCATTTATCGAGGAAGGCTTTAGGCTATATAACATCACGCTGCAACTATTAGGAGCGAAGAAATAATGGAAAATACGAACGAAGTCGCTGACGGCCACTAGTATTCAATATAACTCTACACATATTATAAAAAGGAAAAATTTATTGTTCGTGTTTTTGCATTGAATAGGCTCCAAAACTATGTCATACGCGGGTGATAAAGGCTATAATTTACGCGAGCGAAGTCGCAGGAATAATCTATATTATTATATATATAAAAATGAATCGCAAAATGTGTTGGTAAGCGCATAACTCAACAACGCCTCGACCAATTTGGCCAAATCTTTTTTTAAAATGTTCGTTGAAGTTCAAGGATGGTTTTTACGGCGAGAAAAATTAGAATTATTGCTGGAAAAACCCTAAAAATAGCCCTTTTCTTTTTCCCATACAAATGATTTGTAACTAAAACGTAGTCAATTTGAGCTTTATTGCTATGGTATAAAGTTCATATTAAATTACAAGCACAATACGTAGGCAAAAAAACTGCCACATTACAAATCTTTTTGACAGGACGAAGTCTGTCGGGTCAGCTAGTTAGTAATAAATAAACTCAATGATAATAATCCGATTTCAAAGATTCTTTCATATACTTTATTTTAAAAAGCGTCATACTGCCATCTAGTAAGGTAATAAATTACAATTCATTATAATGTCTTCTTTTAAATTATCTCATGCACCGATAATATAGAAACACCTCAAAGCGAAAATTTTCAACAACACCGCTCCCCGTAAATAAAACTTTATATGAATTTGAAATTGCATAGCTTGTTTTTCTTCAATAAACTTCAAAAACATGTTCGATGTACTCTCTCTCTATGATCACAAGGTCTACTATTGTTCGATAAAATTGACACCACTTTTATAAATTGCGTTTTGCAACGTCTCAAAGGAAATAACAGGAAGCATGCAGCAAAATCAATTCTTCAAAACTATAGGTATCAATCAGTTATCTTGGTACAAACTTCATTCGGATTTTATCTTAACAAATAATGGAGTATCTTAAAAAATAATGGAGTAACATACAAGCAAGTTATGTGACTTTAATATTTTATTTGTTCATGAAATTGTATTGGTATTTTCTATATCTAAGCACATATTGCAAATACATGAAAATGGTTTATTTCGTTGTTAAAATATCAAATACCCTTTACTTACTGATGAATCACATATAACACATTATATTTATGTAAATGTTATTTTTCCATTAGTAGGCAGGACCCTTTTGTTACCTTTTCGGCTAATGTAAACTTGTTATATACGTTCATTAAACAGAAACTCGTTTTCGAAAGCAAAGCCAAAGAGCTAACTTGTAAAAACAATCTTATTTCAAGCGGCCTTTGTTATTTTAAGGTTTAATAAGATTATTTTTTCAAATCAAAAAAGTAACAGCTACTTATTTGATTTTCCATTTACAATACTATATTGATTTTTTCTTTAAGTTATAGTTATATTATATACGATAATAATTTAACAAAGCAAAACCATGTTTAAAAGCAACCTTTTCCCTATTGGGAAGGCTATGTGTATATACGAGGCAAGTTACAACAATAAATCAAAGGAGAATGCCTTTTTTGTATGGGGATTCGTACTAAGTTACTTCAACCAACCAACGTTTACTTTCAACGAGTCAAGTTTTTATTTAACTTTTCATTACCATCAAGATTTTATCATTAACCGACCGCATTTTTGAGATATTTGAAAAAAAAATATGATGTACATATATGATAATGAATTACTGAGATTATTACACCATTTATTATTTATATAGAAATGCGGTTAAGGCGATGCTTAAGAAGTGTATTAGCACGATATAGATTACTATTACACTAACGTGAAAACACTCTTAACAAATAAGCAGCACCTTAAATACCGGCCGTCGTTTTCCAAGTATAGTTACTATCTCAACACAGCAAACCACTTAAGAGTAACTATCTCGATACGCCAAATTATAAAAGTTACTATCTATATACTGTCAATAGTTTTATTCAATAATCTAACAATTTGACTCAAATGTAGCAAACACATCAATCAACCGACATAAACATTCTAAGGGTAACGTATAAAATATATAGGGAATAAACAAAGAGTAAAGTATGAGAATATTGACAGAACGTCGATATATTGACAGTTCCATATTTCGGCGTCCGTTATGTTGTAAAGGAAGATATTTATATCATTGTCAATTTATGTAAAAGAGGTCCAATTGTATACGAAATGTTATTTTTAGGATATGCATTTTTTGACGGAAATAGGCGAATTGTTAATTATTTATCATCACTTTTTAATGCGATCAAAGACTTTAAAACCAGCGGTAAATACATATGAATAAAATATTATTTTTTGGAAACAGTGTACCTGTGACGCAATATGGTACAGAAAAAGGCAATCTCCTTTCCACAATGGCTTTGACATCTACCTTTAATGTAAGTATTAGGGTTTAAATCGACTGGGGAAAATTGACAGTTTTGTATAACCTGACATGCTGTTACTGTATACAAATATGTTATATATTTTATAATAACAGCCGTATTGTTTGTCTTTATATATTGTCTTCTTCAAACTAAGTGTACAAGAGCTCCGGAGACAATCCCAAAAACAAGTTAAGCCCCTTCATTTGATACCCATTTTGGATTAAGAACAATGTTTTGTCATACTATTCAGAACTAAAGGTATATTCCGCTGCTCAAACGGCCAAAAGGAAGTGGGTCAAAATTAGTTTGCAAAATTTGACCGAACTTACATGGCTAGGTAAATTAAAAGAACACACTCGTAAAGAATGTCACCTTCTTTATAATACTACTTCAAGTAATGTATCGCCATGCTGAACCGACGTTTGTGTAACGAAAATAAACTGATAACCTCATATTCGATTCGGTTCAAGATGTGGTCATATCTGTGGTTGATTTCCGGGTCCCCAATATCGGATCAATATAGAAGAGGAAATTCTCAACATTATTTCACCTATGGGTATTGCAGTTTCTTTTTTATTATTTATTTTAGGATTGCCTTATCACGAGCGTTTTAGAGATACTTAATTTGTGATGTTGTCTTAATTTTGCAAGTTAGTCAAAATCGACTGTAGGATAAAGTTTCGTGTAGGCCTCGTTTTCCTACAAGATAGATACCGAGTTGCTAAATCCCAAAATAATCTAAATTAATATATCCGAGGCGTTCTTCATCTCACAAAATAAATAGATTCGTCTAATCAAACACTCCCGTTAATGTAAATATTTTAATAGACAACATAAGTAAATGTACACATTTTAGATACGTATTTAGGCATAGCCTACATATTTTGGATGAAATTACACCAGATTTACTCATATTCCTTGCAGAATTTACTTATATTCTATCATCTTGTCGGAGCAAGCTTACGATTATTTTATCTACATAGATAAAAAAAAATATATCTATGTGATTATAAACAGGAAAAGATTTTAATTTTATTTGTTTCTTCATAATTCTTTTTTGTTCTTTTTTCACTCATATCATACGCGGATATTGGCTATAATTTACGTCAACGAAGTCATGGAAAATCAACTAATCCACTTATATAATATTCTTTGTCATAATCCAGACCTTATCATAACATTTACAGCTAAAGTAATTTTCATTGTTACAAAACACTTAATGTGAAAATATGCATGTGTGTGACCTCTTCACGCCTAAATAAATGCACAAAAGTATGTTAGGTAATACAAAGCTGTCTCTTCAATTGATTTTATACCTTAATCTTTTAAAGGCAGAGTTTAAAATTCAGAATGCTATACTGAAAAATATTCTTAATGAAAACTGCTTAAAAACCACTTTGTACCTGGCACTCTAAGATGGGAATCGAACCCATGACCTTTCGCAATCCGGGCGACTGTTCTAACCACTTAGCTACCCGGGACCTAACAGGATTAACGAATTTTTAAAGCACTTGGTACTCTTTAGCTACTACAGAGCGTACTTTAATCAATGTTCAGTCAATCCACCCAAACACCCGAAAGAAATATTTTACAAATATTTAAACTTCGCCTTAATCAACATTACAGTTAATTAAACTACACTAAAAGGTTCTCTGAAAATTGTTAACGTAAATGGATGTATGTTTGCTAAATCAGCACTGAAAAGGCTAATTGGTTTTAGATGTACTTAATTGGGGAAAGCATACCCCAGATTTATTAACTAAACTAATTCATCGTGTCTCACTAATAGTTGCTGCGTAGTATCAAAGCCGTAACACTCCTTTTGTGTGTAAACTCTGTGTGAACTAAGCTGGTTCGAAGAATTGGAAATACAGCTTCTAAAGCGGCGTGTAAATAATCAACCTCACGCGACGTAATGGAAAATTAGAAAACGGTGAATTAAAATTTAAAGAACAATAAAGTAAGATTAATAAGAAAAATTAGGAACTCGAGCTTATGCCAGCTGACACTGTCCATTCTACCAAGTGGTCTTCGGTCCGTATTTTATGCATGTATTTGGATATTATTGTTGAAAAAAAAAAGAAAATTTTACGATTCAATATATTCTTATTAAAGGTGGAAAAAGACAAATACACAGACAGTCAATGTTTTTTTTTCCTTTTTATTGTCATCATGGCGTTATAGAGGTTTGAGGAAGCGAACGTAATGCAACCTCTTTTGTGGTTCGTAGTACCAGCAGTGTCAACACAATATGCTCTTTGCACAGACTGTACAGCAGGCTCCCGGAAGCACACCCGATGTTCCTTGATGTACCAGAAAAATCCATAGATAATTCCGTTTGTTCGTTATAACCAGGTAGTCGTAAATACCTATTCTATTGAGTTTGTTTTTCTTTATCAACTTTGTAGTTAAATTGACCAGTTTGTAGTTAAACGAGTTTGTAATCTGCGTCTAACTAATGTATAGATGTTGTAGCGGTGCTTTAATGCAAGCCATTAAGCTAGTAATGGCAGTACTGGAACTCCACCTCTGACCATACCGGTTATTAAGGCAACAATATTTCATTAGGCAACTTGATAAATGTTTAATGTTGCACTAAAATAATATATAGGTGGTAGTTATGAAGTTTTAATGTAATAAAACTATCAGAACGTCATTAAATCCTAATTTAAACTTTCATTAGAAGATATGCTGTAAATGGAAATTCGTAGACTTTTTAAGTTCAATACAAATATTATAATTTAAATATTTTATTTGTTCTTGCCTTTTTTTATTTTGAACTCATCAGCATGAGGAGAATATATTTTTTTGAGATATCACTCTGCACCGACATCTGACTCTATTTAATTAAAGATGTACGGTAATATTGTATAGTTAGTAAATTGCTTTCTGACTTGCAACTTTCATATCCCTATTAAAGATTTCAATGAATGTTATCAGCGAAATTTGTCTTCTTAGCAGTAATATCTTTCCTTAATTTTCATATTTTAAAGTGAAGTAGCGATTCAAGCTTTCAAGTCTAGACCTTGAGCTGTCGTCAAAACGAAACACCTTCAATAGAGCGGCGAGAGGCTTACCGCGTAGGTACCTTCTGACAAAACTTAAACCGTTCCCGGGGACTTGTCCCATTTGCGCCGCTCTGCGACGAATTACGCTGAGAAAACACAACGTGTTTTGACACCAAAGAGTGTTATTACATAACGCCTTCCTATTCAGCATAGTGATGCCACGCGAGCCCTGTTTTTCACGAGACCCTACGCACTCGAGTTATCCAGTTGATTCTGTTACGACTAGATGTTACTTCGCTACTCTACTTTGTTTCTATCTTTGCCGCTTTTCTTTAATTTGATTATATACTTACATAAATAATATGTCGAAACTCTTAAAGTGTATTTTATTTAATCTAATTTATTATCTTATTTTATTTATGTTTATAAATTTTCATTTATTTGATAATAAATACTAATTGTTAATTTTATATATACGAGTATATAGGTATTTATTTAAAATTACCAAATTAAATCTCAATTTAGTTGCAAATTTGAAATTTTTACTCGCATGACTTAGAAAACTCGGGATTCGAGTCACATCACTAATTCCTCGTATCTGATATCTTGCGTGGAATTTATTAGCGGCGGCGATGTTAGGAAACCATTTCATATTTTATCTAAACAATATTCTGTTTAACGAAAACAAGCTTAAATAGGTTATTAATTGATAATCTCGCGTTTATTATTTACGTTTTGATGTTGTTTAGGTCTCATACGAGCAGTAGGTACGTATTATATTATACATGTTATATTGAGGTCAGGTTATATTAAACTGTCAAATTTCTCCACTCTATTTAAAACATTAATACTTTGGAAAAAGAGTCTAAATAAATTAAGAATTTTTGATATATTGTGGTAACCTGACCTCCATTTGTGTATATACACGTTAACGTTAAAATGCCTATGTTTTCATTTCAGTGTTAAACATATGCCCTGAAGAAATAAAATGCCCTATGTCAATGGATTAATTACAAGTACTTATTTGTTCAAAATAATGTAATGAAAACTAGAATTTCATTGTTTTAAATCAACGAACATATTTTAAAATTATATTGAGAATTATTAATAAGTAGCGAAGATACACGATATATTTCATTTAAATATATTTAAATAAATATTCATCAACAACATCATAATAAACATTCTAAACTCATTGTTTTACGTTGGAACCTAAGCGTCTTGGAGCCATATCTTTTCTTCCCACATTACTTCATTACTCAAGAACTTTTGAAAGGGGCGGAAACCCGCATACTACACGAGGAAAATGAATGACACCCACTGTCTCCGGAATATATAAGCTTGTACCACATGTATATATTTCTCAGATGTCGACGTTTTATATTGTTTGGTACACAAAAAGTTTTGTAATGCATCTATAACGTTATGAGGGAACATTATTACTAATTTTTGTATAAAAAAAATGTACAGACTAAGTAGAACCAACTAATAAGTAATCGCACATTTATATAATATAAAAGTAGCTGTTTTCCCGCAACATAACCCTTGGTTCAATATGCTGTACATACTTAGTCTAAATATAAAAAGTGTTAATATTTATATATATATACAAATAAAATTATTCTATTTCCTTTTTTATATAATAACATTTCTTGAGTCACCGCGAGCCAAATGAGATACTTACAGGGACCACCAGTTATTTCGCGGGCCACCGGTTAAAAACCATTAATTGAAACAATTCATTTCACTATAAAGTATATAGACCTTTACAATATAAACAACTTACCTAAATGCCCTGTATTGTAGACGTCATACAAGAACGCTTCAGAGCTGATCTCACATTATTATGCAGCCGCCATATAGCGTAATCCAACGCCCGCAACTTGCATCTAATTTTATACTTACTACCACTCTAAATTTTCAATCCGTGAACATACATGAACGCAAATCCTACAATATTGTTTTAATTACGAATATTGAAAAAGTATTTTAAATCTCAAAATATTTTGGCTGTTCTATTTGTAGCGTCTTGTAATGAAAATTTTGGTAAAAAAGAAAACCAGCAACGTGTTTATATAACTAGAAATACCAAACAGAAAAACAAAACTTATCACTTACAATATACCCTTTTTAGCCTGTCACTCGATGGACAAATATGGTTCTGTTTTATGTGTTTCCACAGTTTTCTATATTTCCCTTCATGAAAATAAATATCTAAACAATATCCAAATCATCACGCTTCTGAGATATAATCCTTCATTGGCTAGTAGCGCTATAACAGACACAATGACACACAAATTACAATTAAGATAGAACGAATCAAAATCGGAACGTAACGTTTTAGATTTTGTTAACAAAAATCTCTGAATTTTTGGATGAGTCACAATTTTGGAGAAAAGAAAATGGCAGCTCGTTAGTCCTATTTAAATATATATAAAAAATCAAAACCTTTTAATGTGTACTTAAGGTATATAATTTTTTATACTTTGAATGTAGTTAAAATTCTGTACAAATATTATACTGTGAAGAAATTTTCTATGTACTACCTATTTTCTTTTAAAATATTGCTACCTGATCAACGATGTCTCCGTCCTTATGTAACAAGTTGAGCCGTAGCACTCACAACATCCGTAGCAAGTCCCAGCGCGGAGCAAGTTGCAACAACTGCTACGAGCTAATTTAATATCGAGCTTCTTGTACTAATCCCAGCTTATTCTGCGCGAACATTCTTGTGCCCAGGATTTCATATACTGCTATTTTCTTGAGCACACTGTTATAATAGCCACCATAATGAGAATCAAGTGTAATACTCATAATAAGAGAACTCATCTTGTTAAGAATAAGAATTAAATGCCTAGAGATTCACAAAATTTAATATTATTTTTGATAGAAATATAGTTAAATTTTGTTCATAATCATAGTTATCTACGAAAGGTAATTAACTCGAAGATACAGTTATTTAATTCTAGATAGATCGTTTTCGAGAACACAATGATATATATTTTTTAAATATTACATTTAAATAGTGTTTGTGATTTTGTGGATAAGTTTTTCTGTTTTTATTGAAAATTAAAAACTTCAAACTCTGCAAAAGACGAAAACTTATTCGATGCGAATTTGAATCGCACTTGATAATTTTCGTAATAAGGGCACAGATTCCGTCCTTTTTATAAAGGATGCAGATATACTGTAAGGTTTGATACCTCTTTATAAGAACAAAACGCTTTATGCAACAAAGAACCGAACAATTAAAACAATTTGCGGGTTAGCTGGGGCGAGTACTGGCATACCACAAAGCTTGCCAAATAAAGTGCTCTGTACCCAACAATTTATTCTTAATACAACTTCTGTGCGCTTGCCTTCAAATTAAACGTCATTTGGTAGTTTTATATTATTACCATACCCATGTATACAATTGTATTAATAGATTCAAATATAATTTGATGGGTAAGGACTCGTTAATATTTTAACCTACGATATTATACCTATTTGTGCACTGGTTTTCTAATAAATCGTCGCTTAACGTAAATCATCAAGGGCGACATGTACGGGCGGTGAAGCTTTACTGACTACTTAATCACGAGTGGTGACATTAAAAAGCTATTCGCTTCTATCTCACACTATTCGTGCTGTGAAAGATGACAACAGAAAGCATGGAGTTACCTGAATAGTATATAACAGTCAAATATGAGATACTTATATTTCTTGAGATCTTTTTTTGTAAACCATATTTTATTGCAATAAATAAATGATTTGATTTGATTTGAATTAACTCGCGCAGCGGGTAAGATGGCTAGTTCGGTTTTTTAACATATTCCCTTTTCTACAGCTAAATAGATAACTAATATATATACTTAATGAAAAATGTTTAAAAAAATCCACTCTGTCCTTAACACTCTGAGATGAACTCGAACCCATGACCTTTCGCCCGGATTAACAGTTTTGTATTGTCTACACCCCTATTGAAAGCACAATTTGATGGGACTGAAACTAAAAAATCTAATTTGTACAAAATAATTGCTATTATTATCTTATATTTTTACTACAAACAAAACTGACCTATACTTAAATATTTAAGTCTATAACACCAGTGAAAATTACGGTTTATATTAAAACAGAAAGACAATTTACGACCACGATTATGTGACTGCAATTGTTACCTAATAAACCGTAGAATAACCCAAGTAAAGCTATACTGACCAAGTGTGGTGCCATTAAAACTATTCGCTTCCAACTAGCACTCTTTGTGCCGTGAAACATGACGTCATAAAGCACAGAATTAACTCAAATGGCCCAACGCGGCGGGTCGGGCCAAGACGGCTGATTCAATTATTATAACACATTCCCGTTCATACCACAAATGAAAATTTAACGGTATTCGCCTCGAACGTGCACCGACATTAACAATAACTAGATGAAATACTACCTCAAAGCATTGTAATACACAAGAGAACTAACAAATTAATAAATTAGTAATAATAACGGGAATTACTTCACGATGCTTCTGCTTTAAGAGTCTTGGCTGAGCTTAACATTTATGTAAATAAAATTAAATTTGGTAAATTACTAAATTATTTCCGTAATTTATCATTTACAGTTATTAAGATTTTTTTTTTTGGATTCAGCATATCTAAAAGCAGAATCTTATAGTGCCACTTCATTTTTGGTGACTGTTCTCCTTTGGGACACATAAATGGTTGAATTCTTACACAAAAACTATTAGAATAATAAATTTGCCACATGGGCAAGTAAGCTAAAAGATATATTGCAAGATAGACAAGAATTGTAAAGAGTTTATTATCATTAGTTTATCATGGCGATGGGCGCGGACTTGTAGATTACTAGAGTAAATAAAAAACAAAATATGATTGTTTTATTTTATATAATACGTCAGTGACCCAGTTAGATTATGCCTAATGACCGTTCTAAGACAATATAATTCATCAAAGTTGTTGATAAGTAAGTATTTTCGCGCTTAGCCAGTTTTTTATACCGAATTTCATTTTGGTTTAGAAAACGATTAAGAAAAGAGTCACGAGGGTTTTAAAATTGCTATCGCAATATTTCCAGTGCCACGCTTTAAACCCGTAATAACTAAAACGAATGAATCGAGCGAGTTTATCGAATAATGTCACTAGCAGGTTAGCACTCTGGTGCGAATGGCCCGATCGCTTGGATATTTTACATGCGATTTCTCAAATTATTCACTTTATTGAAATGAAGGGTGCCGTTCCAATCGGATTTGCATCAGAAAGTTATTTGTATTACCGACGATATCGTCCAGTTGAATAACCGTGTTATTTTCGAGAATTTTTTCAGTACCCAATCTATTCCGGCAGCATTCCAAAGTCCTTTTTAAGGCAGATTGGTTAATTGCTCTCACGTTTTATCAAGCTCTTCCTATAAATTACACCAAAATGAAAAATGATTGTTTGAAATTGAATTTAAGAGTGATGATTTCATTAAAATGTATTTTTACTAACACGAATATTAAAATATAGACTTTCAAATATATAACTTTAGATAGGTCTGACCGATCTTGGCTAAAAATTTGCATTAGATATCATTAGTTTTAAAATTACATTTACGGTTGTATATTATTAAAACATTAGTTCATTTAAATTGTAAAAAACATCTAGTGTGTACTTTTCCATTTAATGCAGTTAAGATAGTTATATTTTATTTGAAAGATTTCAATTTTATTTTCATATAAGTCATATAAATTTTAACACTACTCGTACCACGACTCCACCGACGAAACAGACTCCTTAATTTTTTGAGTTACAATCATGATAGTAAGGTCTGCATTTATCAAAAACAACACCAGAGGAGACGATAAAGACTGTTTACCTTTTTAAAATATAACTTCTTCATCTGATTCTTTATGCACTTTTAATATTATAAAGAAAAGGAAACGGAATTCTGTAAGCGGATATGTAGAGAAGGCAATTTCCGGAATCAATGCACCTCTTCGAAAAATCCTTCAAAGGGTAAATTATTCGTGATTTATATAAACTGCCCGTTCCAAGGTACAGGCTTCAGAAAATAAAATTATATTTTCTGTGAAGAAGTGATTCTAAGTATAAAAAATTGAGTTATATTGAGTTACAACAGTCTAAATATCATTCAGCTATATTTTTATACCGTGGATTTGATTTTGAAATGTTTTCTTTCAGAACGGAACTACCAGGACACCGGACCGCCCATGGAATATAATGAAGACTACGTACAATACTGTAATTATCTATGTGGTGTGTGTAATACCTGTGAATGGATCCAATCCTGCGAAACTAACATAGTCTAACATTATTTGTGTTTATTAGCGTGCAAAAATAGACAGTATACAACTATGTATTTGGTTGATTTTTACTTTTCAAAATATCCCGTAAACGTTTCTGTCATCCCAATTTTTTTTTTCTAATGTTTATTATGTAAAAGGCAAGAGTGTCTGACAACTTAAAGACTTACAATGGCTACTTAAAAATAAGGTTAAGCGTCAGATTAAATTTAGGCTTAAATTGCAATTTTAGTATTAGTCCATATTCATATTTAACAGAGAATAAGCAAATAAGCAAATACCTTCTAGGAGCAAATATAACTCCCGTAGAACCTCGTACTAGGTTAACCTTTGTTAAGTCTCTGTTTAATAATATGAATTTTGATTAATACGAAGAACAGCTTGTTTATAAGTAGCACTGTTAATGCACAAACTACTAATCGGGTCAAGCTGAAATTTAGCACAATAGTAGTTATTATGATAAGTATAATAATTATTATGATAGGCTTAGAAATCATTTTTTAAAAAATATCAATCCCAAAGGCGCTTAAATAGGGATATGATAATCACGTAATCCATGCAATGAATAAGCCAAATCCTTGGTTGAATACATGGACAATATCATGATATGAACGCAAAACATTTTAGTTTAAAATAATATCATTCGTATATAAAAAATTTAAACACCAAATTAAATATCAACCTCATCTTATTGGAGGTTAACATTGTCACCGTAATTTTCCACTTTAATAAACTTATAACACTTTAACACCTGTTTTAATACCTAAATAAATTCTGATTACAAATGGTCACAATTATTTTATTAGTGATCTGCGAATATTGACGGGAAATTATAGTTTGTAAAATTATAACTTTATCAAGTTCGATTTTATTTTTTAAACGGAAATGGGGAACTAGTTTTATCTGATAACAGAACACCGTGGTTATGATCATGCAGCGCTTACTGTGACAAAAACTAAAACTTTCAATGTAGCTTACATGGATGTGCTGAGCTATCGACGATAAGATCTAGTTCCGATACGCCTGTAATGTCACGTACTACGTACTTTGATAAACGCGATTTGCTCATACAATACGTCGTATTTTATTTCAGACAAATTTAAATTCGACTCGTCATAAAGTAACCGCGTTACAAAGCAGCGACTTTTTATTCGGCACACCTTAATTAGATACTTAGTCCTTAGTGTAAGCTTTTTTTGACGTTTACGTTCACCGTCGATTGTGATTCATCGTCATCATCATCAGCCCTTTATTTCGTCCCCACTGCAGGGGCTCAGGCCTTCCTTATGGATGGTTAAGGAGCATGGGCCATGAACCTCCAGGCTGGCCCAATGCGGATTGGCGGGTATTAACGACTACAAATGCAGCCGGGACCAACGGCTTAACGTGCCTTCCGAAGCACGGAGTAGCTCGAGATAATAATTTTTTGGTCACCCATCCCGTGACCGACCCTTGCGAAAGTTGCTTAACGACAACGATCGCGTGCCGCGGCGCTTATCCACTATGCCACCGAGCTACACCGAGTAACTACCAAGAATTACAAATCACCATACAATTTTTTAACGCGTACTGTAACTAGTGAACGCGTTAACATTATATTTTCACTTACCACTCTGTTATACAATATAACTATGACATTTACAACCACATGGTCGTTAAATGTAACAATATTAGAACGTTCTAATATTATTATATGTAAACCGAACCCTCATAAAGCTAGTGATTCATGCCAACGACAGCATTCAGAAGTTTCCACCGCTCCAACATCTGTTACCATCAATGGTAACCTTGCGGTGATCTTTCCTTAACTCCCGGTTATTCTCGGTGAGATGCTCAAACGAATATAAATTAGCATTTACTAGCACATGCGAGAGACAAGACGCATGCCGAATGCCATAATTTAACTCCAGCCCAGATGATAGGCTATGTATAATTTAACGCAAAAACGTCTTGTCATTATTCAAAACGATTGCTCGATGCCTAATATATATATATATATATATATATGTATATATATGTTTACGTATCTTAAACAATGGACAGCCGAAAAATAAAGACTTTAATACAACTTTTTATACTGAAACAGAGTGGTTGTAACAGAATATAAATAAATATCGAAATTTTCCATTTATATAATTTTCCATATATATATATATATATATATCGATATATATATATATATATATATATATATATATATAATGCATATATAATAATGCATGCAATAATTTAATAATAATGCTCATAAGCAACTATAATAAGTGTCGTTGCTTTTGTGCATTATTATTACGGAACTCGGCTGTTTATTTATTTGTAACTCATTAATATAAGATATAAACAATGAATATTAAAAATTTTTTTTTAAACATGACTGACTGGCTTCATAAAATGAGGCAAACGCTTTTAACTGTTTAAAAAGACGTTCGAGGATCTTGATCTTTTTCCTTAAATTTTATTCTATAGGTAGTTCGTAAACATCAAAAGTTTCTTTTGTCGAATGGTTTTCTAATATTATTTATCGATATTTTCGAAGAAGTAAATTATGTAAAATAACAAGGCCTTTTTATTTTTCACTAGCCTTCCACTAGTGGCTTTTCCCGTGTGGTTCCTAGAGAACTATTAAGCTAATATATAATAACAAATTCCATCAAAATTCGTTCAGTAGTTTTGAGTAGACGTGAAGAAGTGTTAAGATTATTTACCCCTGTTGTTTGTTTGTTTGTTTGTTTGTATGTTTACATTTAACTTCCAATCCACATTCATCGCTTTATTTGCTGTTTTTAGATTTTTTATATTTTTAGTTACTAAATAATATTGTGTAAAAAAATCTTACTTGTCTTGATAAATTCAGAACGTGTACAGGATGCAAAACATGGTACATGATGTCGCCTCAGAGTAGGTGTATGTAAAGTGCAACAGCTACATCTAAAGTTAGGCACAGGCTGCCGCTTCAATTCAACGATCTCTCTATAAGCTGACACGTGTACGAAAGCTTATTTAAAATAGACTTTAGTTTACAAACACGAGGAACATGCTAAGGAAGAGAAGATAAAATGATAAGTGAAATTTAAGTGAATTAGTTTTCGGGAATAGTCTATTAGAATAGAAACAAAATAATTTAAGAATTAAAAATACTCCTGCCAAAATCAAACTTAAATAAAAGAAGCAAGACTCGGAGTACTGTTCTGTGGAACATTTAAAAAGTAAAAGTTACCCCGACTACAATAAGAATTTTGTTAAGCTAAGCCATAATAGAACTTACTTCTTTTATTTTTAGTTCGATTTGGTAGTTGTACATTTAATGTTCAGATTTTTTTTTATTTATATTTATAGAAATAAAAAAATAATAATACCCATATTACAATTACAGAATGTAGCTAGATAGAAAAATACATAGCTAGTGTCACTCGGAAAGATATAACGTTGCCTATTCTAACGATGCCCTAGACATTAGATATTTCAAAAGTTATATAAAATACTAACATATGTATATCATAACCGTAAACATAATACACTCCCTTTTTTGGGCAGTCGTGTAAAAAACGATGCGCTTATAGGTAAGTATGTACATTACGCATCATCGAGCAAAGACAACAAGTATATGCTTTTTGCATTTTAATATGTGTATGTAATCTTTGGTACACGAAACCGACATACTATAAGTTGATGGAAAATTGTCCTTTATTTTCTTATTTCGTAAGCGACAATCAGAGATTTGACTCTAGCCATAGCTATAATATCTAGCCATAGAATATGTTGATATTCTTATACAATTTTCTTGTTTTGTTATTTACATATTTAATGCTTTATTTTACTAAATATTTAGACAAACAAAGTTTTTTCGAAAAGAAATGTAAACCAAAAATATTATTATATTCGATCAATTTTGCGTTCACAACGCTGTACTGGAAACTCCACTTTGACAAAGTGGATTTTCAAGTATTTTTCATTAAAAATAATCCTAACATACTGTAATGAGAATTGTGATTCAATACGAAAGTGGAAGTATGTAGAAACAGAAAGAGGCCAAGACGCACCTTTCATAATCAAAAAGATCGCGTTTGTAAAAGTTATATCAAACGATTGATTAAATATATAAATAATAAACATTTAATTTTAAAATAATATCAACAGATTCATTGATAAAACGTTTTTATATCTTTAATTAGAATAAAAGCTAGAGTTAGGCGTTCGCTCTGCAGGTCGAATTACAGCCTTGGCAATTATAAGTATTATATAAAAACAATAAAATCTGAATAAATAATAGAATTGTTGGAATAACGAAATTAATTTAGCACGTTTACTTAAATCGAATAAAGCTTGAGAACTTTTTCGAAATTTTAATATTGAAACAAACTTTCGTAAAGCAATTGTTCATAATAGTAAAGTAATACTAAGTTGTCAATATAAACCGAGTTAGCTGGAAGTTATTTAAGAATTCTTCTAACTTATTAACATCATTATATAGAATGGGATTGTTTGAAATTTTCTTAATTATAAATTTTATAGAAAAATGCTACAAAAAATCTGCTTTAGATAAGCATTTTTCTGTAATATTTCTACTTATAAATATAGCATATAACAATTGGCTTGATAGTGATTTGTTTATTCTTTTGTTATATTGGATTTCATTTATTTTGACATAAACGTTTTATTGGTTACAGTGCCATCAGCACGCATTCTCGGAGGGCCTGACCTTCATGTGGACATTGGGTCCACCATAAACCTCACCTGCCTCATACAATTCAGCCCCGAGCCGCCTGCGTACATCTTTTGGTATCACGAGGACGAGGTGAGCGGACAAAAAGTAATTATAAACAAATTTATTACCTTTAGCATAAGGCGTGCTTTATGTATCTAGATATAAGAGTCAAGCTTCTGTAACGCAGTTTAATATAGTTAAGTTTTTAGCTAGTCTTTGATAAATACCGCTTAGAAAAACGACATTTGACTTATGTCGTCTGTACGACTTTTCAATTTATTGTTACCATCGATAAAATTCGAACAATACTCACGTGAAATTCCGTTCAGACTTGCCTAAAGTTCCTACCACACTAGCCTTCATGTTCCTTCAACACTCGGTTTCAAGTTCCATTGATAACAATTTTGCTAATACTAGAAGGTTATTTATGATATTAGATTGTCATTTATTTATTGATAACAAAAATGATTATAGTTACCGCTTTGTCTTATTTTTGAAATAGGCAATAAGCGCCGAAATATAGAAGTTTTGTCACCACATTTTCATACGTCCGCCGTCCAATCCGTCTTAATTAAGTGGCGACTTTAATTTATCATAACTTGTTATTATTTTGGTATAATACTCTTACTATTTTATCGACTAAGTTTAATTTCACTATATCGTGTTAAGTTCCAATATAAAGATTAAATGCTTTGATAAGTATGATTGCATCGAACAATTTTGATAAAAGAGGAAAACCTATAATTTTCTTTTTGAAACGACTTATGCCTGCAATTAATATCACGTCTAAGACTCGTTAATTTTAATGCTAATGTTAAATGGGCCTTGTCTAGAACACCCTTGAGACGTAGATTTTATTACAAACTTCCTTGAAATATTACAAGAGATGATCACGGTTATAATGCTGATATAACGAAAAGTTTACACCAAAATATTGCCTTACCTTTGTGTTTTGATTATAAACAAACATAATAAACCTAATATTGACAAAGACAAAAAAAAACCGATCGAATTTTTTGATTTTGCGTCATTCAGGCGGCAATATTCTATGATATGTGAGGAAGCTGCGATCCGGAAGATAAGCAAGATTCGCATTAGTCGATCATAGGATACCCATCCTATGACATCTACAGTCGTTAACACCCACCAATCCGTTCTGGACCCGCGTGGAAGCTCTTGGCCCATTTTCTATTCCATTCAATTTCATTCATAGGGCTGGCCTATGCTCTTGCAACGGTGTCATTTATAGGCTGATAATAATAATTTACATGTCAATTTTCATAGAAAATATTATTTTATCGGGAATAAAAGAAAAAACAATTATTTCTTTGTAGTAATAACTATTCACGTTAATCCATTATCCATTACTCCGTTAACCTGAATCCGTTAATTTAATTTAACGATAACTCGTTGACGATTAATTGGACTTCATTGAGCACCTTTTCACTAAAACACATGTCTAATAGTCCTATATAATATAAACAAATAATATTCAGCATTAAATCTCATTAAAATCGAGGACTCAAATAAATGACTTACTCATCCTTTCAACTATGAAAAATGTCTGTTACAAAGTTTCAATTTATTACAAAGATATTTAAGTAATTCGAGATTTGATTAAAATCTAGACGATATCTATTCTGGAATGACACTTTGGAAACGAAACACTTAACAAAGTATCTCTATTTAATTTAATGTCTTATTTAGACAATCGGAGCGCCAGATAAGACGACCTTGTTCTAGACGAATCAGATATCTCGCTTATAAATAGGTTTTTGTTTTCATAAATCGGATTCTCAACGAAGATTGGATCTACCAGCTTAAGCTTTAAACACCTGACATGACTCAGAACTTTTTGTGTAGGTATAACGGCACACATGAAATTACGGTGAACTTTCACAGGTTCTAGGAAGACATATTTCAAATTTTGTTTTGAAGATAATAATATCTTTTGTTTTATCATTGTTCTCATGGATAAAATTCATGGATAAAATTCTACATAATGTATGTTCGAGTTTATGATGCGAAATTCGTTGCTCTTATTCCCTGTATTGAGGATTAGCGGGTAAGTTATATAAAGCACGAATTTTGAAGCTAACTCTGTCTTTAAAAAAAAAACTTGCTATGTTCTTACTATTTATTAGGATAGACAACACATTATTGAGATTTCTAGATCTCGAAATGTATAAGAGCTATTAATTTAACTCTAAAAATGTGAACTTTAAAAGATATATTAAGTTAGTTATATTGATACTACCGATCATACATTATTCGCTCATGTTCGTTAGCGATAAAATTTATTTTACTAACATATCTCCCTTTTCCTTCCATTTCATTAAAAAAAAGACATGCCGAATTTATTTTAAATAACTCAGTTAGGTCGTGTAAATGTAATCCAAGTGTCGACGCGAGCGGCACGACGGCACAGCCAGCCCGCTCGAATACTACACTTCATTAAAACAATACAAATTCAAATAGCACTTCCTTCAGGGTTGACAACTTTATACTCTTACTTTTACTTTATATAGCGTAAGTAGACTGATTGAAAATAAGAAATCCATTGAAATCTGTTTTGTCGTGTTCAACTTCACAACCACAATTTTACATTCCTTGTCACAAACACAGTTTGTGAATTTCGTTGCTGCGCGAAGGATGGTGAATTGAATGGAAGGCGCCATCTTGAACTAATCACTCGCTTTAACCATTATGATTGTGGTAAACAGGTAGCATACACTACTAACTGACTCGATCATTAATAAATATCTACATAAAAAAGTATAGTTACGAGAACAAATCGAAAAAAAGACACAATAGAAATGACAGTTTATCGATTACAATCCTTGTATTGCGATACAACGAATTTAGATAATAACCACCAACTTATTAGTTTTTTAGTACTATCCAAAAAAGTCTCTATTTCTAGTTAGTGTGCTAAACACTAACTTATAAAAACAGGAGGTCTTATGAAGTGCTACTGTTTTCTTTATCATTATACTTTTAATGACAACCCTATTTCCCTACCGACTCTCACTACTCAGTGTGGAGGAAACACCACGTTGAATGTGTAATCCATTTAGAATTACCGCCTCGAACAAGAGATTTGTTGGAAACGAGTGTATGTAGACAAAGTGCTTTTTAATTCCTAGCTCTCGAAGAAAAATATGACTCCGTCTAACTTTAAAACAATTATGTTAATTTGGAGGCTCGTTAGAAACGAATCTATGTAAAGGTCGAGTAAATAAATATTAAGAAAATAAGACGCAGTCAACAGATAAGTCAGTAAAACAGATAAGGATAGAGGCTGACGTTCATTGGTAGCAAACTTGTAAGATTCTAAATAGTTTTCTTTAATGAACCCTAACAATATCTTCAGTACATGATGAATTAACTTTGTAATATTATTTTGAGAGGACTTAAAAATTGAGATATCGTAAATTAGGTGTAACTTCACGTTTTGACCAAATCACTGATTAAGAATGCGTGTACACGTCATATCACTAACTGTCAACTGGTTCTCTTCAAAGAAATACATACTAATCAGCTGTAATTTTATATCTTTAAGGATTCTGTCATAGCCAAAATGGGAACAAATAAAATTTTTCTTTTTGTAACTATACCCTTTTATAAGGGAAAATTGAAATGTGTGGGACACTTCTAAGCCAAGAGAATAATGCACAACTTTTACAGAAAGGTATTGCAAATTTGCTATTTTATATAAACAGGGATGAAAGAAGCTCGATGGTTCAGTAGTTAGCGCGATCGGTTTGCGATACGATTTATTAAGCAACTTTCGGAATTATTTCGTCTTAGCATGGATGACCAAAAAATCTCGAGATCCTCCGCGCTCCGGAAGATACACTGTTAAGTTGGCCCGTCTGCATTAGTAGTAGTAAATACCCACCAATCAACACAGGGCACGCGTGGCGAGTCATGGCCTCGCTTTTCGATTTTAGTCCATTCCATCCATAGGAAAGGCCTGAGCACCAGCAATAGGAACATTAATAGGCTGCTGATGAGGAACCACAGGGAAAATCTTTTTAGCTTTATGTTTAAACGTATATTATTCTAGCTTTCCACATGTTTACCTGATTTGACGGTGTTCTTCTAAACGGTTAACTAGGGTTAAACCAGACAGCATTATTTGTAAACCAAGCTTCATCAAAAATATATAAATCCTGCAAACTTTTAACATTTTAATATTTACTAATATTCATAATTACAATTATTGTTGCTTTTTTAAGATTAATTTCTTAACAAAACTGATGATTTTATAAGTAACTCACAAAAACGGCTATTTCATGTACGGAATGTAGAAATGTACGGTTTGAAACTGTCAGTTTGTGTGTTTATTGCTGGTCTGTTACAACTAGGTATTCTCCTAGTTCGCAATGCATTTTTGAACTTTAAAACCTAATCCTTGTTAATTGAGTTCTTGTTTAATATGATTCCGTATCAGAATATAGAACTAAGATAATATTAACGGTATAATTTTGAGTATTAATTTGATATGCTCTTGAGTAAGCTGCCTGAAATCCAATAACTTGATTACCCCTAATATATTTGTTAGCACTTAGGATATTATGTATGTATATACATGTTACGATATTGTAGGTACTTCCTCCTCCTCGCGTCTAAGTATTTGTGGTGTGATCTTCTCCCATACAATTGCTCGTCAACTGTTCCTATTCTTGGCCGAATCTAAAGCAACGTGCAGATTAGTTTCCAAAGTTGTAAGGAACTGAGCAATCCAACTAATAATGCTACGTCCTCATGGTCTTCTGCCGTCAACCTTTTCGGTGACCATGAGTTGCTCCAGGTTTTTCCTTTCCTTTCTCTAGTGATGTGACTAAAGAACTCAAGAACTCTTAACAGGTTGATAGAAAAGAGTTGAATATTTATATTTCATTGCGCAAAATAGACGCATCTGTACGGAAGGCTGTTAATGGAATTTAGAGCGTTCACCTCTAGCACCATAATATTATCTCAAAAGCAAATGCGGTTGCAGTCAGCTTTCTTGTATATCCATCGTTTTTACGCAAACCATTACATATACCTTACATTAATCGAGTTCATGACATTTCGAAGCTATTAGAATAGATTATAAATTCACATTCATCTGTGACAAAATTATAAGAAATATCGTAGTTTTCTCTTTTTACTAACAGCTTATTTGGACGTTATATCTTGGTAAAAAACTAATTGAAAGATAGTAAATTTTAGTGTATACGTCTTAACATACCGAAATGAAACACAAACTTTATTATTTAATATACACTCGTCCTAGTTGCATATTAATGCACGTAATATAAGCCATTTAAGAGTCCAAGCAGCGTTATAAGAAGGCAGCGTGTGGGGGCAAAGGGCCGATGAAATGAGATCCATAAACATTACTCCATGGGGTACTAGAAAACGCCTTCGGCTTTATGAATGGTCACGTTTATTCAAATTTCAACTTTAACGCGTTTACTTAAAAAACACTATCAAAATTCATATTGTATTAGCTGATCCGACCAACGTCTCTTGCAATAACAAAAAAAACCGTTTTCAGTTTCATTTGTTTTTTTAGCAACTTCTCTACTCACACTGTTACAATCAAACTTGTGTTCTTGGTCTAGAAAGTGCATTTTATACGTTAAATAAGAATAAAACTTAGTTATGTTAGTAAAATTTAATTTCGCTAGCAATCATCTTTATACAACAAAGCTGCTATAATATGCATAGGCATGCAATACTTTCTACATGTCTCAACATCCCGAGCGTAAAGTCTACTCTAAAACAAAATATTTTTCAAAAAAAAATTAAGACTGACTTAAAAAATCGAACATTATTTTTAAATTTTCTAATTTTCCCTCGTAATTATATTGTTTTTCTGTTGTAAAAATTGATAAATGTTCATTTTGCAACCGCGTCAGCGATTATAATTGTTCTCGAGAAATTAATTAAATAATTTTGACGCTATATTTCATGATCCATTGTTTACTTTTACTATTGTGGAATATTTCATTTAATAACATTATTATAGCAGTAACACTGAGTGCGACGAGAAATATCATTGCAGATATTTTATTTTTTAACCGACTTCAAAAAAAGAAGTTCATTGGCAATTCGAGGTTTATGTGTGTAGTTTTGTTCGGCTTCTAAACACGTGTACTAAATTTTATAGGTGTATGTAGGTCTGTCTGTTTCTTCACGTATTTGTCGCAAACTAGACGTCAGATTGAATGATTCTTTATTTAATAAAAGAAACAAAAACCCGCGTGAAAAACAACGAACTGGAAACGCTGGAACAAGATACAAATTTTATGCAATATCATACATAACATGCTGTCGGAAGCACGCAAAAAGAGACAATGATTTGACTTATTATTCAATTTCATAAAATTTGTGTCTGTTTCCAGTCTTTCCAATTAGTTGTTTTTAACGCAAGCGAGTTTTTGCTTTTCGCATTTCACCAGATATCACCTAAATGTTAAGATTATATGTATTTTATTTCATGTATTTCAGCTAAAAAATTGCGTAGTTTGAATTCTTTCAAAATTTGAAAGGAGGATTTTCTATATTCACTGAGTATGTATATTTTTTAGGAAAGTAGATTTCTTCTTAAATTGTGAATCGATTTTTATCAAACTAGCTGTCGCATGCGTAAAGTACAGCCTATGTCGAACGCGTATTATGTAGCTTCCCGTAGATGAAAGATTTTAATAAATCGGTCCAATATCTATCCAGTGTGAACAAACAAGCAATCAAATCTTTCCTCTTTATAATATGAGCATAGAATAATTGGAAAAAATATGTCGACCAAATAAACAAAACCTTCATTTCTAAGACCTTCACTATATTGAATATTTTAATTTATAAAGCAATTTAATATTTTTAGTGTTACGTAATATTTTAAAATATCAATATCACTAAAAAGCATGGAATGAAAACTTAATAAAATAGTACCGAAAATTCTTTTATTAATAAACCTTCAGAAGACCTGCGCCTGACTTCACTTCGTTTTCGATCCATTTTCGATTCGATATAAACAAAATTTATTTAGTAGAATTGGCCCCCTGGTCGCCAAAGTTCTAATTGCGAAGCAAACCCTAGACATTAATCACGATAATACTCGACGCCGCCGCAGGTAGTCAACCTTTTTTTCGGACACTAATCCAAACTAATGTATGTAAGAATGTTCGCTGGATATTGCTCAATGTGTTTCGGACACATTTTAAATTAAGATGGACGTCGTGGTTTCGTTATTGTTGCTTGCCAATACATGATGGTAGCGGTATTTCTGGTATGCTAACTGGATTTAAGCCTACAAGAGAGGATTTTAGGGAGACTCAAATTTAAGGCGAAATATATGTCACAGTCTTACGAAAACTAAAATACACTTATATGATTTTGTTTTCTAATTTTAAATCACAACTTATTTTATATTTTTTATAAAACGAATAGAGAAACAGTGATTTCTGATTTTCTAAAACCGCCTCAAAATATTCCGCGGCTTGGTGTCGAACACCTGATCCCGATTTATCTGAAAAGTACAGGACGATAAATACGCTAATTGTATAATTATAAAATCAATTTCAATCCGTTTCAATGGTATAGCGCAATAGGCTCGCAATTGTAATAGCTATTTATAGAAATTATAAACTTTTAAAAGCGTAATCGCTTTTGGAACGAATAATGATTTAAATTATCAAGAAACATAAAAGACAGTTACCTAAAACGACCGAAAGATTCAAATAGCATTAAGTTTGTTTTTCAATAGCTTTCCGTCTAAGGCTTGCTTTAGAAAATTGACGTTAAATAACGATATCGTTCATTAAATATCTTCCAAAATGTTGTCGTGACCCCAATCGCTATTACATGTCAAAAAGTTGTAATGTGAAGCCATGAATATCTTTCAAAAGTCAAATTGAAAAGGATTACGACAGATTTTTAAATTAGTCAATTAGCCCCAGGTATAAATTGAGCTCAAGTTCGATCCAAATAGAGTTATACATTAACACCAACATTGTTCTATTTAGCACGAGCTGCGGTCAAAATTCATACTCAAAGGCTGCTAAACGTATGTTATTGAAGTAAACAAACTTAACTGTCTTACTGACACAGTTTAAGACAGCAATTACCTATATAATGGTTGCATATGACGTATACCACCAAAAATTTTACAATTTAAAGATATTTTTCAATGAACAAGAATGCATAATTACTTTAAAATATTGATTGCCGTATCTGAATTCGGCAATCATATGCACAATCCTTAATATTATAAATTCCAAAGTAAGTTGGTGTGTCGGTTATGCTCGCAATTTATATGAAATTTATTATGAATAATGAGGTCCTGGAAAAGGTGTAGCCGCGGTGTAACATAGTTGTCATCGCATACAAAATACTGACAATAGTCCGATGTACGTTCTGCTTTATACATTAAACCTCTGGAATAAAGTCTAAAATTAAGTAAATTTCCGATCAATTGTGACTGATATTATTTTTGCTTGAGTAACACAAAGACACATGCAACATTTTGTAAATGTATTGAAATCAACTCAAAAATAAATAACTTTAGTAACTTAAATAAATAAGTTAAGTATTGGTTATGGTAGATCAGAATTTTCGTTACGGTTACTTATGACATTAACCATCATGAAAATGCCTTAGAATTAAACAGAAACATGTTATTTTAGAGCTTATATACAAAATTCCATCACATCTGCTGCTCGCATTCTATAATCTCCAGAATTTGACTATGGAATTTCTTAACGCTTGCTGCTGAAGTTTCCCGACCAAGCCAAATGAACTTCGCTTCACAATAAATAACTGTAGAGTTTTATAGCTGCATAACTAAAAAAGTTCTATAGTGATGGCGGCATTTTTAAATTTAATAATAGAAATGGGTGAAACAATTTGATATTTAAAAAGAAATTGTTAAATAACGCTTATCTCTAACCAGAACTTCATTACCTAGCTGATAATCATTTAGGTAAGATTATCCTTGTTTCTACACATGATAACTCATATATTGGACTACTTTTTTACACTTGAATATTTTGAATGAGAAAATTACTAATCACGCTAGTTCCAAAATAAGATAGATTTTGAAGTAACACAATTAACGATAGATAAATCACAATTTATAAACAAAAAAATGGAATTAATAATTTGAATATACACAATCATAAAGCAACTGTTTAGGTTTAGCAAGCACATAGTAACTACCTACTTCCAAGGACGTACTACTGACGACTAAAGAAACATGGCAAATTATCTGATTTTAAGCATATCCCAAAAACTAAAAAAAAATAACTGTGTAATCATACAAAGTTGTTAATTTTCATGCTGAATACATGCTTATTAATAAACTTTATTATGTATTAATATTTCAGAATTGGAAAAATATTTCCTTTGGAAAATTGCACGTTCCATCAAGAGCTTCCTATCATTCCATATCCACTCAATAACAATTTACCGATAGTCACTGAACGAAATTATAATTTGTAACCAAGTCACATTCTTGTTTTAATATTTAATATTGTGATGGTATTAATCGAGCTTATTATTTCAATGTTTTTAAATTGAGTTGAAAACCCCTTAAAATTTACTGACTATCGTAGGGTTTTGGCAATATGTTTCGCTACACTACATTCTATTAAGTTTGAAATCGAAGAAATGCACTGTTATAGGCTATGAAAGAAAGAATACTCGATGTTTTATAATAACTTAATAGTAAATGTTTGGGGAACGTTATTTTAATAATGTGTGTAACGTTTGGCATGCTTTGTCGTGAAGCAGGTGATATCGTACGACTCATCGCGTGGTGGCGTTTCGGTGGTCACCGAGAAAGGTTCAGCAACCACATCCTACCTCCTGGTGCAAGATGCAGCACCAGCCGATTCCGGCAGATACTCCTGCTCGCCTTCCAACGCCGAGGTGGCGTCGGTACGCGTTCATGTGCTCAACGGTTGGTATTTATTGTTGATTATTTAAAACACAAACGTTAAAAACATCAATGACAGAAAGATCTACATTACAAATTATGTCAGCACGTAACGAGAATGGCCCCAGAACTGAACCCTTAGGTACATTGCAGCAAACTAATTTTAAACGTTTTATTAATAATGAATCGTAGAATATTAAAGGGTCTACAAATAAACAATTTGTTCTAATTGAATGTATATTTACTGACTTCGGGTGTAATATGGAAATCCTTAATCCTCCTGTATTTTATTGCATCCAACCGTAACGAATAAATATTCGCTGTTATAAACGATATTATAGTAAGTTTAAATGTGTGGACATTCTATACGTTATATAGTATACAATGCATGTCTATTATTTTTCGATGTGATGGATAATTATATAGAAAAACTGATCTTGGCGGCTTGATTCTTCTTATAGACTCAAACAGTACGGCAAGTAAACGCAAGTCTGAATTTTTGCTCTTTGTAACGGATAGATTTCTATACAAGCATTAGCCGACTAGTAACGCGAGCCGTAATGTATCCAGTATACGTTTACGTTAGTATACGTTTTCCGCGTACCGCAATGCTCTATTAGCCTTAAAGTTGTATGCAACCGCAACATATATGATTTTATCAACTACTAATTTAATGCGGATAATTTGGTTATCTAGGTGAGCGACCAGCAGCTATGCAGACCGGCTCAGCGGGGCTGTCAAATAGTTCGCGCTGCATTCTAGCACTGCTGGTGGCGTGCGTGTTGCACGCGCGTCTGTTGCGCGCCCAACTCGCTAGCTGATCGCACTCTCGGCCCCCGCATAGTTCTATACGATGAGCGCTTCACACAAACACCCACGCCAGTTTGAGAACCATAGACTAGTATTTGCATTCGAAAATTTTTGTTATACTATATGCCCAATTATATAATTGTTAGTTTGTAAATAAAACTAAATATTATCAAATTAAATTGCCTTCATTTAAGGATCAAATTAAATTTTACTTACCAGAAAAGTAGTACTCAGAAAAAATTAATCTAATAAAATACTGAAACTAACTTTTTGCTCAATTTCAGTAAAACAATTGTACAAGAATACTTTTTAAGTATTCTATATAATGAAATTAATTAATTCTATAATACATATTAATTACGATACTTTATTGAACTAAAATTATTATTCTAATTGCAATCAACTCTACTATTTCGAGAAATCACATTTTGATACATACTTGTGCCAGATGTCTCTCTGCTGTGTCAAAGTAACACTCTAAACTTAAGCGTTGAGGGTATTATTTTGTTACAGTTTGTTTTATGTATATTATTTTACAATTAACTTATTTAATCATAACACTTAGATATTAATAAGTAAATAAAAAGAATATTTCAAATAACCATGCACTAAGACTCTAAAATGTGTCTCTCTTAAAATTTCATATTATCTGAACATATTTATTATACCTATTTTTTAGTCTTTTGGTTCTCCATCTATGGCAAAATGTGTATGCGCTATTCAGACAATACAGTGCAATACAGAAGTGCGTATAAACAAGTGACTCTCGTGCGCATAGCGAATATTTAAAATAAATGTTACGAAAATTTCTCGTCTAAATAAAATTTTAAACGAAAACTTAGTTTTCAGCTACTTATTTAAGTGAATGAGAATATATTAAAGAGGTTAGATTTATAGATTAAAATAAAAATAATACAGAGTGTACCGTCTGCGAGCGTCGAATCATTGACGCATCGTAATGGTTCTCTGGTAAATAAATTTTCATTCCTTCACAAATATTATTTATATAATTTATTAGTGTTAAGTAATTAAATATTCTTGTTATCTTAATTCAATATCGTATTATGTTCAGTAACTTAAGTAATTACTCATCTTTATGTCATTATTTATTTGTCAATTTTCAGTAATTTTGCACTTTACTGTAATTTAATACGTACCATAATCTAAGTGTGAAAAAGATGGAAAAGTAGTTTAATATCTATGCAGTTAAAATAGAAAAGAATTACTTTTCCTATATGTTGGCAATGTAAATAACTAATACTGTTTGTATCGGCTGCCATTTTGTGTTGTCTATGAAGATAGCATAAAATGGTGAAAGCCATAACAACAGAATTTCGCTAACCTTTAATGATGAGCGAAATTTTTTATTTATATAATGATTTATGAATTGTCAGATTATTAGTTTTGATATTCTAAGTTTTTTAAATATTGGGAAAGTCTATTAATATATAATGATTAACAACAACCACAGTTTCGACCTAGTAGCAATTTGAGTTGGCCTATAGTTTTTTTGTATTCGATAGGCCTCAAATTGCTACTAGGATGATATGAAAATGAGATATTGACATCTAAATAAGAACAACGTGAGCTTTTATCTCATCGATGAGACAGACATGTTGTTTAAGTATTTCTTAAATAAAAGGTAATGAAATCCGCATATTTGCTCGGAAGTTGACATCTACAAAAACCACTTAGGGAAAAGTAAATAGACTATGTCCTTCGCTACGGAGCAGCAACTAAGTGAATCCTTTTTATCATACTATACACTACCCTTTTTACAATTAGCTAATGAAATTCTGTATTAAAATTTTCCTAGAACTCGATGTAAAACACAGCACTGTCAAAGTATAAAGGTGCAATTAAATAAAAACTTTATTACTTTTTAAAGCAGATTTTTCTGTCTTCCATCTTGTTTATAAAAAAACCTACTAAGGGCGAATAGGAATCGCGCACTGAGAGTTCCGTATAAACCTGTAGGTGTTTATTAAAAATATTTCTATCATATTATGTAACTAAAATTTACGGTTTTCGCAATTTCTCCTTTATCTGTGCTATAAGTCGTTGCTTATATGTTGTTACAGTTAAAAATTAATGTGAAATTAAAAATACCGTTCATTCAATATTTCTCCCTATCACACATCAAATAGTAGTAGCGTGAGGTTCGTGAATATCTTTTAAATGTCAAATTTAAAGGGATTGCGATATGCTTTAAAATATTACAATAAACCACCAGAACATTTTTGATGATAACAGCTACACTATTCTGTTACACTGTGCGTTACGACATTTTCTTAAATAATTACTTCCCTGGACATTATACTCAGAGCTACAATGAAATAAAACCTTTATTACCTTTAAAGAAGGTTGTATTTGATTGAATTATAGTTCTAAAATTGAATTAGCTCACACATAAGTTAAGATGTTAATATTTTTTCAGTAGTGGATACACGTACTATGGTCATACAAAAGATTGTTCATAGACTAAATAACAGTATCTTTTAGATTTTAACGTGTCTATTAATCAATCTCATTTATGTATCATATCCGAGCAAAAATGCGGGTATGTAAATTTTAAAATAATTATTTTATTTTCCCTATATCTAGTAAAAGAAACTGTATATAAATAGATAAATTAATATAAATGTTTTATGCGAAAAAGTTATAAGATACCTATGATATAAGTATGATATTGTCGTTAGAGTGATCCGTTGTACGAATGTTGACTATAATGGCATATTATTAGCTATACACACGGTCTGTAATTAAGAGAATTAAATTTAAAAAATACATATTTGTACCATGTCCTCTTGCGCAGTCGATAGCACGTCTGCAGTGCTATTCTATAGTAAAATAAGCGTTGAACTTAAAGTAAACACAGCGCTGTCACAGCATAGAGGATCAAAGAAATAAAACCTACTTCAAAACATAATAAAGGTTTTATTTGATTATAACTCTATGCTGTGACAGTGCCGTGTTGGTCGTCAAAGCACACGACGCACAAACGTTGAGTTCAAGGAGGATTTTATTACAGAATAGTAAAGCTGGTTACTATAAAAGGCGATTGTAATCAATTTTAAGACTTTCGGTAGGTAAGTTCCGAGTTGATTGCAGACATTAAGCCTTTTGTAGTAATATAATGTGCTGTTGTATATTCATAAATCACTATACTTGAAGGCTAAATCTTCATGTATAGTTATTAAAAAAAATTACTTGTTAATATTTATTTTCTTAATTGATAATCATTTTGATAAATTAAATGTCGTTACCACTACTCAAAAGCTGATATTTATCTCGCTCCCATTAAGTATTCATGTAAAACTATCTCTCAAGAACTTTAATGTTATTTGCTAAAATATTCATTAAATATGGAAATTATTATTATTCAGTTATTTAAATCGAAACATGATACAAATTATTAATTAACATCAAATATATTAGTAATAGAAATATAATGACACTGCCAGTTTTTTTAGTGAGAACCTTCAGGTGATTTTGGAATGAAATAAATATTTAAATTTTAAAATGAACCGTGTGTGTAGCACTAATCCAAATACTATACGTTTGTTATTTATTATGAATATAGTACGTCTCTATTTATTTGTACGTTCGAATCGGACAAATGAAAAATGAATAATGATATATAATAATTTATTTTCTAGTAAAGCCGTGATTTATATTGTGAATAATTCACTTATTGGTCTCGTTGCTTACAGAAAATTGGTTACCGAAATAAATTCGCTTAAATGTCTAATATAATTTCCAGCAAAGATATAAATGGGTATAATAATAATTACAAAACGTTTCTAATTACAACATCTGCATTGTTCCCGTAACGAGATAATATTTCATCTCTACCTTGAGTGGATCGGATATCTCCGCTCGCTGAACAGACCGCACGGACTCCAATCATTAGGACTAGTTCACAACTTATGCACGAGTATGACATATTAAGGTATCAGAGGATACACAAAGATATCTAAGGGTACGCAAAAGTATATAAATATAATCACCCTCCCAAATATTAAATTTTCATGGAAACAGAACTCTTATTATGCCATAAATGCGTTCAATTAAAGTAATAAACAAATGAGTTTTTGTATTGGGCATATTTTTACTTGAGTACGTATTTATCTCTGATAATATCACTATACTGTCTATGTTGTATATATGCTGCAGTAATGTACTAGGTGCACCTAATAATACTGGAAATTGATATAACTGAAACAAGAAGAAATGGTCAGACATAAATCTCCATCCAAATATAAGCCACCAAGCCTTGTGAAATATTATATTTCTATTAGCGTCACATTATCATATCAGCTATATAGCTTATATCTTAAGATTTGGTTATATCTACAGACATGTGCCGGCACAGACGCAGCAGACACCGTTTGCTCTATTCAGATTGCCCGGCATATAGCCATAGACAAAGTACAGACATGAACTACACTGACAAACGGCACTATCCTAGTCTGATGGTGCAGTGTGGTCTTACTATAGATATAAATACGTTAACTAAACACTGTATATAGGAATATTAGGTCTGTACCGGCACGTATCGTGGTCAATGTCTATAGACGAACCTTTATACGGTACGTTCGCGAGTGTACATGTACCTTTACAATTTTCTGTCCAAACACTCAGTGCCATATTTCATAAACTAGATTGAGTTTTCACGAAAACACGGCGAGTAATTTTAATTAGTAGCAAAAAGGAAATCAACTTTCTTAATAATAGTTGCCAACGAGGTAGACTATTGTAATGTAATGACAATTATTAAATTTTTAGAAGTAACACGCATGACGTATTATTTTCTAGATGTACTTTATTTATTTTTTAGTGAGTAAGCAATCGTGCAAAATATTTTAAACACATCAAATGTCCTAATTTATTTGTAATTTGAACTCAATATTTGTTTAACATTCTTTTTTCAATGGAAGTCAATAAACATATTGATGAAGTGTTCTGCACCAATCTTCCTGTGTCAAATTATGTAGATACATACAACTTTGACAGTTGATTACTATAACAGCACTGTGCATGCGAAGTTTTTCAAATATAAGAGTCGTTTACTATTGAGTAACAATATGCATGCGAATGGCAAAAGTGAATCGATTTTTTTATAATAATATTGGTAAATAAGCGTTTACTAACATTATTATTGTAATTATAATTTAAACCAATAGTATTAAGTGATGTCTGTGTTACGCTAACAGATCGAAATCGCGTTGAGCGAAATAATAGCTCACAACGCGTTGTGGCATTCACAGAATAACCACATAGAGAAATGCGTGTCGTGGTTGTCATGCTATTCGACGACAACACGTTGTGGCAATGAAGAAAAGCCATGAAGTGTATTGAACTATATTTCATTTCGTTATATTAGGATGGAGTATGACAAACAACGCACGAGCTGAGCGAGCAAAGCGAGCGAGCTGGGGCAGCGACATGCGTACTGCCACAAACGAATCGATTTTGTAAAATGAAAAAGCTAGTTAAACCAATTAATGCTTAGAACGCGTCGTAGCTTTTCTTCATTGCCACAACGCGTTGAGGTCGAATAGCATGTCAACCACGACAGGAATTTTGCTATGTGGTTATTTTGCAATGGCCACAACCTGTCGTGTACCATTTTTTCGCTCAATAAGCGATTTCGATCTTTTAACGTACCATATGTACCGAGTAACTGTAAATTACGACTTAAAAAGAAAAAATTGACACATTTTGTATAGAATACAATTTGTAAATATAAAAATAGGTGAAAGTTTTACAATAAAATTGATCTAAGTAGTTGGCGGCACGGATGTTCGCGAGGTGACTATGTATGTAACACATGGAACTATGTATACATAAACAGAATAAGTTTGTTTTCAAATAAAATATTTAATATTTAAAAAATTATTAGTTTTATTTTTGAAGTCAGCGATACCTAAAATAATCAAATCAACCCCCACAGGTCGACGGGGCCGTTGACATGAAAACAAGAATTAGGGTCGTGAATATTAACAAGGACCCGTGATTTTCCATCTCACTTATTGACTTACCATTATGAACTAACTCTATCTAGGTTATTGATTTTTCCTCCAAACTGTGTAACGTACACAGTTTATTAACATTACAGAGCTACTTTCACTTAGTGAAGTAGAAGTGATACTCGAGAATAAGTAATAAGCAAATATTTTAACCACTAGACAAGAATTTTAATTCATTACTTCAGTGAGAACCGTCAATTGCTAATTCTAGCTCTATAGCTACTAGAAGACAGGTAATACTTCACTCAAATTGTCGTCAATTAGTAAAAATATTTGTTTAAGTTATTAGTAGCTATTAGTCTTCCACTCGACTATAGATACGAATGTTATTGTAAATGCTGAAGTACATAACAAATTAATTTTATGATGTTCGCGGTATTAGTATATATATCCTAACATTCTGTTGTGTATGTTAGTTGAAAATCCACTTCATGGTCACACTATACAGATACTTGGATCCTATAAAAACTTACATTAAAATGAAGAAATAGTTTCTAAATCGCTA